AGACGACCTACTTTTATTTAAAAGCTATTGTTATCAGAGTTCAATAACATTTTAATACATTCCATTACTACTGTAGTACTGGTACATAGTACCAGTAATATAATCTACATATCATTAATCATGTTTTTTTGTTAGAAAAATCCTAAATAATTTAGGGCATTTCATTTCAACATATTTTACTTTAATCGAAAACGTAGGAATTATATACCTGCAGCTTGTTTTATTTTTCTATGTAACGATATTGAGAAATATTTTAATAGACAGTTCCTGTCGAAATTAAATCAGTATTGGTGTCAATTATGTTCTATTATTCTTTAAACAAGTTTTTCCAAAACTATGGGTCACGACCCACTAGTCGCGAATGAATATTGAGTGGGCCCTAATGGGCGATTCATTATGATATTAAATGGTTCTACAACTTGCCACACGAAAATATGAGCGTTACGCCATGCCATTTAGATTTTGTTAGATGAGTCGGAATCAACTTTGGGAATCGGTGCACTAAACAAAATTAAAAAAAAAATATTCGAATCCAATATTTACAGAAAATATCAATGTTTCCAATCTCTGCTCAATGATATACTTAAAAAGGCGTTCAGTGTTATACAAAAACATTAAATACACTTTTATAGTATATCATCATAATAAATTATGAAATAAAACTAAGTTTTTAACTTACATTCATGACGTGGGATAGTTAACGACGGGACAAAAGATCAAAAAATGAATCAATATGTTTGAATAATCCTTTCATAAGATTAATTCTACTAGACGGATTAACCGCAAAAATATAGCTTTTACGCGATATTTATTCCTATGAAAAGGAATAAAAAGTAGTAGTAATTTGGTTGTCATCCATATACCTAATTTGACTGGAAACTTTCAGACTTATAATATTTGTTGGATTTGTCATATAGAATAATGTTTAACTATTTACGTAGGGTTTGTAACGTAACTCAAACAATTTACAGCCAATTGCACAAACGTCAAAAATAATTGACATTTGTTTAAAGAGGCATTACCCATACAATTCTGAAATTAATTAGAGCTTAAAGACATTATTAAAAGTTAATGGACGTTTGTGATACTGGCTGTTAGCCTTTTAAAACTCAAAATATTACTCTGGAGAAGTGCTTGAAGTGTGATGATTTAGCTTAATTTTAAACTTTATTAAGTAAGTAACTATGCAAAGCTCTTATAGTAATAACTACTTTTTAGGAATTATTATATGAACTATCTTGTTACCAAATATATTTATGAGGAGCATCTAAATCAACAGATAACCAATTCGCAAAGCCTTCCCAATACAATTAGCGGGTGAGGAAGTCGTGACAATACTTTAAGCGTCTCTTAGCACTCTCCGACCTTCATAACGAGCCTTCAGTTTTCACTTTGACAAAAACATACTTACATAAAGACGCCGTATGAAAACTAGTGGAAGATTTGTAACTTTTTAAAGATATATATCCACTCGATTCTGTTTAAAATGTAAGATTATTTCTTTTGATTTTTTCTTTATTTGTATTACATTATTAAATGAATTCCCAAAGACATAACGAGCACCAAAATGTTACATTTTTCTTATAAAATCAAAGGATAATCGGTATAAGTTTGCTAGAGAGTTTGCAATAATACTAGAGATGTGCCGAATAGTGGTTCTACCAAATTCGGTTTAACCTTTAACGAGCCTGATATTAGGTCCAATTATTCAGTTCAAAATTTTATTGTTTTGCCACGTAAACAGGTTTAAAAATAGCTGTTGAATAAAGTTTAATTGCTTCATTTTATTAGCTTTATTGAACAAGAAGATGATTTCTTTGACATATAACATAAATCTGCCATAAGTATAATAATTCTGTTTGGTTGGATTGTCTAAACATTGATGAAAATACGATCTGTGGTATCGAAAAAGAAACAAGTGCTTGAATAATTCGTCAGTTTTGTTAGGTTCTGGGTAGCTCAGTAGTTAGAGTCGCCCAGATTGGTAAAGGTCGTGGGTTCGAATTCCATCCCAGGTTACCTGGAACAAAGTGGAATTTTTACGCACTTTTCATTAAGAAATTTTACAGTATGGCATTATGAATGTAAAAGTGATCAAATATGATAATAAGAAGTTTTGTTTTTTAATTCTATACCGTATCGTGTAGCCCAGTGAATAGAAATACCCAAACAGAGTATGTTCGGCACCAAAAGCGAATAATTCGGCCGAATACGTCCAACAGGGCCTGCATGCGTAAAATGAGCGCACACACGAGACCTATTAACCAATGTAAATGGACCATATCTAACGTTTATTTTACGTTCTTCTAAGGGTAACATCAAAGTTAGTAAAGCATAATCCGATTCTGATGCAGCTTAGAACATATCAACTGCTCAGTAGCCAGCCAACTGGAATAACTAGATCTTCAGATCTTCCAGAATATTAGTGAAAATCTTTGAACGCTTCATCGAACGTATAGAAGATGAGTATAGAAGCTAGTCAACTAGAAGCATTAATTAGATTGCACGATGTTTATTCCATTAATTTTAATAATTTATAATTCCAAATGTTAAATACTTTAGGATGGGCATGGGCAAGCAAGAAGCTTGACAAACTAAAATATTCCTGGATTATGTTGATTGCTTGCTAGCTTAACAAAATCCGCTTATAAATATTGTAGTATAGTATAGTTTTTATCATATACCTCCCTAATCATATAAGTGAGATGGTTTTGGTTAGGTTTCCGGGAACTATATCTACGTCCGGGCAATAGGGGACCTTGACTACTTTTTCCTCATTTGGCTTTTTTATCTTTACAAAAATATTTTCTTATGTCATTATTATGGATGGAGTCATGGAATATAATTAAAAATAATTAATTTCCAACAAACTGGTGTTAATAAAATACTCATATCTCTTATAATGTAACTGAATAGGAGACATTCGCAATCAACCATAGTTTTTTATAGTTTAACTAAATTTTAGTTTTGCAAATTAGACTTTATTTATTGAGTATTTTTAAATATTATTGGTAATAAGCTTAAAATCGTAAATGATTAGTTTCCTTATAATAACTTAAGTCATTCATCGATTCAGATAGGACAATATTCTAAATACATTTTTCTTATTGGGATGACCGTATTGACCGTGTTGACTCTTTTATAGCCACAGGTAACACAGCTAACGATTTAGAACTTATTTAACATGTTTATTACGTTTTTATGCATTTATTTATTTTGTGATATCGATTACAGACAGGTTAATAAGCTATGAACATATTTTGCAATTTACCTATAGGCTTACATTACAGTAATTGATTATTAGTTTAAGCTATTAAATCAATGAGGTCGAGAGCTGTCGATAAAATTAAAAAATCGTATGCTTATACGATACTATATTATAAAACAGTAACTTTAATAGTTTATTTAATATATCAACATTTCCTTTATTGCCGGTGGCGTTACCAGCAATAAATTCGTAAATTCGTAAGAATTTTTCTAACTTATTAAAGCTAACAAAAATGACTAAAAGAAATAAATCTATACTGAGACAAGTAGTGAAGGCACAATTTTAAAATCATTCAACAGTAAGTAATGAGGTTTATCATCGTTGTATCCACATTAGAATATAGTAATTGATGACGTAAGCTTAAAATCTAACTCACTTGTTTATTTACTAACCTATTGTCAATCCTAAATGTTTCGTAAGTTCTAGTACGTAGCTGAAGGTCGTGTAGATCATACCATACGCATGTACAAAGCAAATCGTATTATGTAAGTTAACAAGACAGTTTAGTGAAGAATGAATAGGGAACATTTTGAATTGAAACGTCTCGTTGGCCGCGCACTCTCTGTTCGGTTCAGTTTTTGTTTTCAGATCATGATTTCCGATTAGAAATTCTATGTTTCGGATTTGCGTCGTGAATTATTATTGTGGTGTAGATTAATGACTCGGAGCCAACAATATAACCTTGGCTTGAACTCGCTATGTGTAAGGTAGTGTTGTCTAACATAACTTTCTATTTTTGAAAGTCTTAATTTAAAAAAAATATCAATTAAAATTCTTTTCAATACTTTGTAGTCGTCTGATGAGTGCGAAAGTACGACTGTAGCTTTAATATATTATAAAGGTTGTGTTTCAACAAATCGAACACAAGTTTGACGATTTTGGATCGTGCTTCTAGTATTAGTGTATAGTGGAAAGAATTTATAAGTTAGATATAACTGTACGATTGTAGGCCAATTAGATGATCTAGCTGGTGATGGTATAATGCCGTGCCAAGTAGAGAAGAAAAATGGCACGTCTACCATTGACAAGATAATGAGGATACGAAATTACTACCGACGAATTATTGATCGTTTAACTAAATTCCACGTTTGAATACTCAACAGCGTTTGCTGTTTGCTTATCCAATAATAATTCGTACCAACAAAATACTCTGATAAGACTTTTCAAATATCACTACGAAACTACTAAAACATATTCCATGATTTATTTGTAAGATGAAGAAGCTTTGGATAATCATATTGAAGTAGGATTAAACAAATCTTTAACTAAACCCTTCATTAATGTAAGAATGGAAAAAGTATGCTCACGCATTTGTCACCGGGCTCAGCTGTTGACATGCTTTTTAAGTCATAAATGTCGTCTTCAATCACCCTGCCTTGCTTATTCATTCTAAAATAGAAACAGCCTTCGAAAAAGTTTTCATATTTTATCGCATAACAAAAATCGTATTTCTTTTTTTTTAATTCTATTATGTTTCATTGTAGCGATTAAACTGTGAACCAAACTTTCGCAAATTTTCTAAAGTTAAATTTGGTACAAAGGTTATTGATATCGCACACCTAGGTAAATAATATTAGATTCACTGAAAAATCATTTATTTTACCAGAATATCTCAATTTGTCATCTTATGAAAGCTAGCTAACTACTAACACAAAAATAATTTTTAAATTATCCAGAACTTATTGTTTTCCAAAGCGATCAGTATCATGTATAATTTTTCCCTTGTCTGCAGTGGAGAATCCAAATTACGAGCAAGGCTACTTCGGACCATGGATAATGTGCAAAAAGATGTACTACAATCGGGAGAAATGCGGCGAAGACGTCTCCAAATTTCGACCCTCCGGTAAGTCTACCACTTTTTTCTAATCATCGTTTCCGGATTTTAGTATTTGTTTCGGCCTCAAAAGGCACATTTCACTTCCGTTAATTTATATATTTTAACACTTTATTCTAATCTTGCTTTCAATATAATTAAATCTACTGGATACATGATAATTATTAAGACATTTCGTAAAGACATTCTGAATCGATAGCTTATTCTATTATCAACATTACCAAGACACGTGTTTTCATTTGTATTTCGTAATAACATAATAATTATAATGTTACTCGTGTCTATTTAATATAGATAAACTCAAGGGTTAAAGTTAATAATATCTGTTTTCATATTACAAAATCTATCGAAGCCATTAAAATCGATAACGCAATCGAAAAAATAAATGAGCTTTGTCCACAAATGAGTAAACTATGGTGCTGTCATATAAATAACATCGCAATTGCCCTTGAGCTCGATACAATATGACATCAATGATCTCTGTTCTATGTCGAGAAAATTTATGTTTATACTACGCACACAATACTTCTTTTACAATTTCAATATTCACGACGATTATGTTATTTCTTTTGGATAATTAACATATTACTCAATTTTGGTTATAACTTTTGTTTTAAATTCTCAAAAATATTTTTAACGAGTAAAGTTTTATAGATCATAATTATTTCAATATCTTTTCACTGTTTCATAAAAAAATGTAAAAAAAGTTTAGGAATTTGATACTATCTCTCGTTTTTTTCCCGAATGCCATTACATGGGTTATGGCTAAATAAAATCTCTTTCTGGTATAAAATTATATGTTGCATCAATATTTGTAAAATAAATATTTTGTGTGTTATAATTACAAACATCATAACATGAAAATCGATTTCTTACAAACCCCTAAATGTTCCCGCTGACCTATTTTTGTGCACGCGAGTCCCCCCACTTTGTGAAGAGACACGCCGATACCCTCATTTTCTTTGTTCGTCGGCAATTCAAATACGAAATCAAGTTTGTTATAATTTAAAAAAAACTGCCTTCTTTACTTATGACCCATTGCTAAATGTATATTTTTTCATTAATTTTGAAGCTTAATAATTTATTTCGTATCCTTGTGGGTAATTTTATTTTGCTGCAAATAAATAAAAAATATATAAAAGGCGAGTATATTAAAAAAAATAACTTGCTTAAATCCCAAACTAAGTAGTAAAAGTTTTTGTATCATAGAACTTTAATACCACAATATTGTAGCTATTATGGTCCAATATGAATCTAGCGATTCAAGACAATATGTAAAAGTTCATTTCCTGTATTCACCTGCCAACGAGAAACCAGTTTTTTTTTTATAGAATGCATCCATTTCAAACCCCAGGATTATTTGTGCTATACGTGTCATGGGGTGATAAGACTGCCATCAATATTGAAGTTAAACAAAGACTATACTCTTAACTGTGTCACTTCCGCCGATCGATGTAACAGTATATTTTGCTGTGAGGGGTGTAGTTCCTAAGTAGGAATATCTTATATAAGATACTGGCTTCATTATAAAACTCATGGATAAGCATTTTCTCAAAATAAATATGGCAAACATTTATGATCAAATAATTGGGCAACATCATATTTATTGCTCCCATCTTAAATAACTAATATACTTCGTAATTAGTAATTTGATCATAAACATATTATCATGATTGTAATGACACTGCACCAAAACCATACTTCAGAGATTTGAATAAATAACAGATATCACCATATATTCATGTAAGCCACGGAGCACGTAAAGAAGTTTACGGGATAAACATTTGCATTCGAAAGAATGTAATTTTAAGAAGGCGACGGAATACTATAAATCCTCGTAAGTATCTGTGTCTCACTTCAACAACGGCATTTGCATCGTCAAGTGTTAACGGTAAAACCTCAGAGAAGAAAATTGTTCGTTCTGTGAGCATTTATAATCGATTCACAGATGGTTTATTACTTATTTATCCATTTCTCCGTCTTAATAGCTCAAGCTTCGCTTCGTTTTTGACACTTTTGTTTTCTGTGAAAGTTGTGAAACACAATGATGTACTTGTTATTTATGGAACGTTTCAAACTAATTTTATGTTCCATCTATTCGCTGTAAATGGCACATATAACTTAATAGATATAGTTAGCCAATAGGGTGTGGTGCCTTCTCCCATGTGTCCTCCTACGGTTGTGACGTGGCCGTATTCAAGGTTAGATATAGACCCTTTTTAAGTAACCGTGCCCCTCCTCAGGTCATAGTTGTATCTTATGAAACCTTTGGACTCAATAACTAAACTAAAATAACACAATTACATAGTTCAAGGTTAAATCTGAAATAAGTTATTTTAAATTAATTAAAATGCAAGTTATCTATCTAATCCATAACTAGCAGAAACCATTTGGAAATGAAATACCACCAATATTATACATTAAACGGGCCCATGATTCAAACTCGAGAATTAAAACCGTCAAAATCACATGACGGATGTTTTTAAATATGTAGATGCGACATATTATTTTCAAATGGATTACCATTTATTTACTATTTCAGTTCATCTAAAAATTACATAGCTGTATGTATTAACTCCTTGCATACAATGAAACCGCTCGTCATATTTACTAACATCAATATTGCTTCAAATACTCTTATTCACTATTGATTTTCTTTTTAAAATGTTGTCTGATGCTGATGACAGCTCAACTGCGTGTCCACTCGACCGAATCAAATTGAAAGAAATTATTTTTTCACGCGCATTTAATAGATTTGTTTGAATATTGATAGCCACTGGTAATTGTTATGTTAAAGCCATTACAAATATTTTTTATAACGTTAACTGAATAGTAGTTTGACAAAACATTATATTCATCATCGGCAGAATGCTAAAATATGGTTGAATGTACGATGGTGTATCATGTTTCGTTCGTTGATATTAATACAAAAAAATTTTAATTCTGCAGTCATGATTTTCATGATAGAATTCTCGTAAGTCATAGTAAGTCTGATAAATTTAACACTGAGACTGTGCAAACTGCAACCATCGCGATCTTCAAGGAAATGTGATTGTATAAATAGGAGTAGTTGGTATATATGTAGTCAGTTACTCAATATATAATCAATTTATAGACAATATCACACTGGGCATGGATCCTATAAAAGATCTCAATTGACTTAAATACGCAAGAAATGATATCCACTCAAAAAATATTTTCTAAAATGTCATGTGTTATGTTATACTATAATGTTAAATAAATAAGAAAAAAACTTACGAGAGTGCGTCAAAAAGTTCGCGGAATGGAAGGTTTTACCTTCCATTCCGCGAACTTTTTAAGTAAGAAATAAAACACAAAGTTATTTTTCCTTCTCAATGTATTCCCCCTTAACTCTAATACATTTATTAAACCTATCAATTAATTTACTAATACCTTCGAAAAAAAAAAGGATTTCTCTTTGTCGTCAAAATAGGCCGAAATTGCGCTCGAAGTGAAGAGCGCAATTTCGGCCTATTCATCGCTGGAAAATTTCTTCCCTCGAGGCTCTTTTTTCATTTTTGGGAACAAATAATAATCACTTGAGGCTAAATCTGGGCTTGTTCTTTTTTTCTTAAAATGTTCCAAGATTTCGAAGCCCACTCTTTGAACAGAAGCCATCGCAACTTGCGCCTTGGTGCATTGTCGTGCAAAAGGAGCACACCTTTAGTCAATTTTTTCCCGTCTTTTTCTCTCACAGCATCTCGCAGATGTTCTAATAATGCAGTGTAGTACTCTCCAGTGATAGAGACACCCTTTTTTTTATAACCAATAAGGAGGATTCCCTCTGAATCCCAGAAAACAGTAGCCATGAGTTTTCCAGCCGACGGAGTCATTTTGAATTTCTTCGGAGATGGTGTGCCCTTTTTGTGCCACTGCATGGAATCTTGTTTGGACTCATAATGATGAACCCAAGTTTCATCTCCAGTCACAATTCGGTTCAAAACTTTATCCTTTTGTTAACCACGGAGCGCTACAAACTCGCGACAACACTTAACTCGCCGCTGCTTCTGGTGTGGCGTGAGCATTCTCAGCACTCATCTTGCACACCCCTTGATATGCCAAAATGGTCTTGTAGGATGTTCAAAATGGTTGTAGCTAATACTCCAATCATTTCTGCAAGCTGTTTCTTCTTTAAACGGGCATCTTCCAATATGATTTTTTTCAAGGTTATCGACGTTTTCTGCCGTGGTTGCCTCGACAGGCCGCCCTGGCGTCAGATCATCTTCAATCGAATCCCTGCCTTGATTAAACAGGTTGTGCCACTTGTAAACCCTGGTTTTACCAGGGCAAGAGTCCCCGTAAACGAAGACATTTCTTCCAAAATAGTCTGGGGAGGTTTTCCTTGTTTGGTAAGGAACTTGATGACTGCGCGAAACTGAATTTTCTCCATGTTGCAAATTTTCTTCCGGATTGACTTGTTAATTGATGTGTAACTCAGGTAATTATGACCTATTTTTTTTAACTAAGTATTTATACTCTTAATGAGTTACACAACTAGTGCAGGTAGTAAAAAGTCACCTTTCCCGCCTCCATACCCTCATTCTGCGAACTTTTTAAATTTTATTTTCCATTGTAAAGACTGTTTAGAAGAATTCTAAAACCTATTAAAATTATTTGTACATTAAGCTTTTTTTTCTTATCCATTTATTATTACCTAACATAGATAGAGTTTTATGAAAAACATTGTTAGTGATATATACTTTCACTTTCTTCAAAGCATACCCCACTATGGTAAATTGAAATATTACTAAAAGCCTAATTGATTTGTTACGATGTATGCAGCTTACACGTTTATCGTTGTTTGTGAAGTAAAGAATTTCAGTGTCAACAACACTAAATGGAATTCAAAAAAGATAACTGTTAATAATGAGTGTCATATGATTTTACATTTTTAAAAGATTAATACAGTTTTAAGTAACAGCAACTTAATATGCTGAATCTGTTCTAAATAATTGTTATTGGGCTTTATGTTTCCATTGTACCCAAAT